CTAGCCATTTCCTACCCTGTTGTCTCGCCCTCCTCCTATCACAACATATGACATGTTTATATTCCAAAAAATATGTGCCCTTTTTGTCGAATTTATCGTGGCATCAATACGCCTGTTGTTTGCTTTGCTCCCCTCCCTTTCGAGTGGCTTATTCTACTCTAGTCTCCTGTCAGGATCTGCCTCATGGGGCTGTAGGTCCGCATCTTTTCTTTATGGCTGACCGATTTCAATCGGTTCCAGCTCCAGAGTACTTTTACTCCAGGTGATATTTCTCAAGCCTTCACTAGCACGTGCAAAGTCGCCTTCACTAGCACGTGCAAAGTCGCCCTCACTAGCACGTGTAAAGTCGCCTTCTCTTCAGAGCGCCTAGGCTCTGATTCCCATGCCTGCAGATATCAGACATTGCCTTTACGCATCATCTCCTAGATTAAATCCGTGTACCCCGAGCAAACTGTCTACTTCTATCTCTAGTCGTCTGCTGCATCTAAAGTGGATTATTAGTCTATTCGGTCATAATACCCCATTTCTGTGACCGAATCTCTCGCCCTAGTCACGTAAACCGTCAGGCCCTAAGGTTGTAGTTGTTTATTCGGACTGACTATACCCACTTAGAACTTCTTCGCTTTATTTCCGAAACTTCTTCGCGATCTCTTTTACTCTGGTTTGCGATTGATCCTTGGTTCAGGTGTCTCTTTGTTCTTGTATTGTTGCATTCCAGTTTTCTCCGAGTCTGATTAGGCATTTGGCAAAGTTATCACTAACTCTGCCTTCTACCAATCTCCTGTTCATTACATTTTTTCCCCAAGGATATCAATGGCTTCCTTAATCTTCCGTTTCCATGTGTTTTCCCCGTATGAGGCTATTCATTCTGTTGTCTTCCAATTGATATCATGTCCAGTCTCTGCGATGTGTTTCGATATATCTGATCATTCAGTATGCATTTTCCTGCAGAGCCTTTGATGTTCCTTAACTCGTATACTCCTCTCGAGTATCCGTTGCCGAGGCATATCCAAATCAACCTTTCCTATTCTTCATCCCAGAATTCCAAGTTCGTTAATCGTAGGCTTCTGATGATCATACTCCTGATTATTCCTATTTTCACTCTATAGTTGTGATGAGACTCGACACTGAGTATTACTCCAACATCTCCCTTCTTTCAGAACTATTTCTTGTTGAAAGTCCCATTATAGCGAATGACTTCCACATCTATGAAAGCTAAGCGCCACCATTCATCTACATCCATTGTGACCTTAATTATTTAATCAAACTGGTTCATAAATTTCAGGAAATCCTCTATTTTTTCTCTTCCATGCAACCATATTGCAAAGTAGTCATCCAGGTACCGCATACGAACTCTTGGTTGCATCAGTGACGTTTTGAAATTCCCTTCTAATTTGTTCATGTATAAATCTGCCAATAGAGGTGAGAGCGGTGATCCCACAAGAAGTGGAGGCCATTCGCTCCACTGGGAGACCCAATAGGAAACTTTTCCTAAAGAAGTCATATGCTAGAATAATATTAAATTTCGATTCTCATCACAACTATATAATGAAAATAGGAATACTAAGGAGCATGATGGTCCGAAGCCTACGATTAACAGACGTGGGATGAAGAATAGGAAAGGTTGACTCGAATATGTCTCGGTAACGGATACCCAAGAGGAGTAATACAAAGAAGCATACTGGCCATAAAGGGCAGTGGCAAGACAGGAATAGAAAAGAAAGGTAAAGATGGAGACTAAAAAAAGTGGATATGCCTCACTTCCTGCAAACTAGATCAAAAATTGGGGCCAATATTAAAATGGAATATTCGGATGATCACAAAGGAAAAAAACTCGTTATAAGTCTACCCACGTATTATGAGACGGTGAACAAATTTTACATTTTACGTAAGACTTGATTATAACACCATCTTCAGATGATCCATTGGTGTTGCCAATGAGCTTTAACTCGGACATGATATACACGCTAAGTAAACTTTGTTGTCTCAAGCAAGACTTATTATGACTTCGTTGTTATCTAATTCTCGTGTGTGATAAGTTGGACTTTCGAATTTGAACCTACTATTATAAGACTGAGTTTATGCTTTTAGTAGTTCGTTCTCTAAGCCAAATCTTATCCGCAACCCAGAAGAGTTTTTAATCAGTTTCTATGGATAGTAGTCCTAGCGAAAGAGATTTCTCATTTATAAGGAAATTAATATCCCTAATAATCACTGAAAAGCATTTATTAGCTCACTCAAGTGCGCATAATCAGGAATTCTCCCAACCCACCAATCGAAGAGGGCTTATGGGGTAGAACGAGACTAAAAAGAAGACTTGGTCTTATCTAACATCAACTCTACCTTTAGTGTCTACCAACTTTTGTCCTTTATATCATCAAAGCTCCAATTCTCGTAGATGAATTTACCTTATAGCTCTACATTTTTTAATTCAAACTACGAAAAAGCTTTAGTCTTTAAGGGCTCAACCCGTTTACCCAGTAAACTAGTAACCCTTATTGTCAGACAAATTGCGAGTGGTCTGTCTGTGAGAAGAAATGGAGAGTCTTCATTTTCAATCTTCATAATCACTAAAAAGCAAGCTAAAATAATCGCAAACATGGAGCCCTGTGTATTCAGGTAGCCAGGACACGGAAATCTTACAATTTCGAACGCTTTCAGAAGCGCCAATCTGGTATCCTACTGTATCGACAGAAACAATAGGAACGAGGGAAGTGTTATGAAAACAGCTGATTCGCCAATCAGGGTGTTCCACATTTTTGCAACTTCCCGACGCATGTTTGTCCCTGGCAGACATTTCCCCGTTGTCGGGGCTGACTAGCGCAATTCGTAATCCATCCTCTTCGATATCACTGCAACCATGGCCGCCCTGCTGGCCAAGATCCACTAAAGATGCAGTTGCTTGAACGGTAGCCTGGCTGACTCCCAGATAGGAGTTGCTGACGCCATTAGATGTAGAGTGGGTATCGGCAGCAGCCATGGGCAAAGTTTCTGAAGCCATGGAATCGAGTGTGCGAGCGTTATCAGTGGCTGCACTGTTGATTTTCCCAGGAAGGAATAATAATCTGGTTTCCGAGGTTTCAGAAGGGTTACTCAAAGAGATGCTCTCAACGCCTCCAGCAATCACTTTGTTGGGAGCCCCACCAATACCGTCTACTCCAGGCTCCCTTGGATGACAGGGTGATGTGATGAGCCTTACAGTTGGTCTAGCAATAGCCCCATGATCAATAACACAGCCTCGACTGCAAGATCCACCACTCAGACCAAGAACTGGTGGAGTGAAAGTTGATCGAAGGTCATCACCCGGCAAATGCGAATCGATAAGAATCTCCAGAAAGTTGACGAAAAGTTGTGCGGTTTCAGAGTTCTGATTGGCCTTGTAAAAGGAGTTAACAAGATATGCCTTAGCAAATATAAAAATAATAATGATAGCAACTCCAATTTTAAAAAATATTTTTGAGTAAAAACGATTTGGTTACTGTAGCTTCTACTTCCTATCGTAAAAATG